TGTGTCTGATGATAAGGCTTCAGGCCGTTTATGGACATTATGGACATCCTAGAAAAGGTGGGCTGTCTTTTTGGATGTACAGCAAGCTGCAACAGGAAAACTGTTGAAAGAGGCACTGGACAGAGCAGGCTAGGCAAAAGGAAGATATTTACTAGATATTTATGACTAATAGAGTCACTAATGCCAGTGATATTGAATAATGGGTATAGACTCCTCCATGTATGTCAGCAGTTGTAAGAGGCACTATTTGCTGTATTTATTATAGGTAGGCATGTGTATAGATGGAGAACTAGTTGGATAGTCAAACTTATTCAACAGGCTTTTGTTACTTTTAAACTAATAAACTAATGAAAGATGGCTTCATTTACAATGAGCTACATTAACAATCTTAATTGAAGGATTATGGGATCCTATTTTATTAAGCCAGTTTGTAAGTGGCAAAATCACATTATTTTTACTCTATCAGTGCATCTTTATCTTTGAGAGCACATTTCACAGGAGTGTATGCTAGGACAGCACACTTTACTCAAGACAGGCAGGCATTGCATTCTCTCTGTATTACATTTATTTATCTCAAATATTAGAGGCAGCACAAGCTTTAAATTTTGCCCAGTTATAACAAAACTGACCTCATTGATGGTACAGCTGAATAACTGTTAACATTAAGCTATAATGTATATTGTGCATTTAGAAAACACAATTGATGCTTTTAAAATTTTTTATGCTTCACTAAATTATTATATAATTTAATAAATTTATAATAGATTATAAATTTCCAGTGGAATCCAAGTATATAAATTCTTGAAAATTTTACTTCTATATTATAGATATGAGGATATTTTATCATGTTAGTATTAAAATGTTTATGTCTGATACTGGCTTCCCATTTGTCTCCTCTAGTGGTTTGTTTATTGTAAGCAAGGTACAGTCAAACCTCTGAAGTAGACCACTCCGTGGGTAGAAGCAGAGTTTACTGGGGGAACAACTGCTGGGCTACCGGCATGCGTGTGGAGAGCAGAAGCTCAGTGGGAGAGAAAATGGACTTTACATGGTAGTCAGTGGGGTCTTTGAGCTGACACAGGCTCTTTGGTTTAATCAGGAACTATGTATTTTGCTTTGTTGACTGTTGGGGCAGAGAAGGGAGGCATTACTGACAAACAGAAACCCACATCACTAGATTTCTGAGGGAGGCTGATCTTAGGTTTTGTTTTGTTTGCCTGATAAAAATCCGGCCTAGGAAGCCAGTTGATGGTGATGCACAACTTTAATCCCAGCACTCGGGAGGCAGAACCAGGTGGATCTCTGAGTTCGAGCCAGCCTGGTTTACAGAGTGAGATCCAGGACAGTTACCAAAACTACACAGAGAAACGAAACCCTGTCTCAAGAAAACTAAAAAAAAAAAAAAAAAAAAAAAAAAAAATCCAGCCTGGATTGGGCCCATCACCTTAAGACATTGTTAGCAGCATTACCAAATTTTTGTGACCTTTGTGACCTAACACTTATAAATTGGCAAGTAATCTGGAGGAACACTGTGTTCCCTACATGTGGCATTTGCTCAGTATTTAAAGTTAAAAATTCATCATTTTACCCATTGACATGAGGCCATCAGAGCGGCAGAATTTTTTCTTTTGCTATTATTTCCTTTAGGTTCATGGGTGCTATAAGTTGCTGGTGTGTCCCCCATCCCTGACTCCTGATTTTTACTCTCAAAGTTGCAGGTTTTCCTTGATCTTCCTGGTTCCTAAAAGGAAAATCAGGAGAGGAAGTTACCTGGTTCCTGCAAGCCAGAGCCTTCCTGTAACCCTTCCTCCCAAAGGACAGAATTAAAAAACCAGAATTACCTTCCTCCATCCTTTTAAGGCAAAATCTTTAGAGTAGCTTCTGCATGTAAGTGGCTTTAAAGAATATTTCCTCTGTGTTGGCATGCTCACCCAACAACTTCCTAAGGTTTCCAGGGACTCCTCCAGTGAGTGGTAGCCTCCATTTGAGGGTTCCATGGTACCCAATGCTAGGCAGCTACTGCCTTCTCCAGGGGGACCCAGTGGATCTCATCTGATTTAGATCAAACCATCCCTAAACAAGGAGGGCCAGATCCTTGTGCAAGGTCCCTTGAGCTCCGGAGCACCCTGCAGTTCGGTTCTGTAACCTCAGGCTCCCAGGGGCAGGTGTGAGGATGTTTCTGTCTTTAACGGGAACCATTAAGTCATTTTGCTCTAGAAGCCATAGGGGAAAAGGTCAGAACATGATGAGACACCGTGACAAGGGAAGGCAGTGCCACTGTGGCCTGTGAGGATTCTTATCTCCCTAGTGAATGAGACACTTCAATTTTGCCAGGCTGAAAAATTCCAGCCTCATCTACCGCCTCACCATGTTAGTGGGAGGTCAGAATGTGAGTCCCTCTCATGCAATCCTCCAGTCCTTACAGCCGCCCAGTATCTACCTGACAGCTCCTCACTGGAGCTTACCCTTCCCTTCTGTCTCTCTGGAACAAACCACTGGAGCACAGACGACCCTTCAGAGTAGACTCAATCTGACTGTATTAGTAGCTCCGTTTCAAAATGACCAAGAGTACCACGTGGACACCCTCACTGGGATATGAACACTGGAAATCCTTGGGTCTTAGCCCTGCCTTGTTAGAGCTCCAGGGTATTTGGTTGTGGAAGGTATTCTGTGACTCTTGTTTGATCGCTGGTTTATTTATTATTATTTATTTTTTTTACCAAGAAAGCTACTGTCTAAGAAAGTCTTCACCAAGAGAGCTACTGTGCAGTGTGTCAGTCAATCATGACACAGAAAATGAAGTGCAAAAAACAAAACAAAACACAGAGAGCCAGACACGTGAAACAACAGAATCTTTTACCTCAAATCTTAAAGAAAAGCAGTAGCAAAGCATGTGTGATCAACTGCTCAACCAGTGGGCAGGAAACAATACAAAATAGCAACAACAGCAACAACACTAAATGGGCACCAACTATGGTTTCACACTGTGACTGAGAGGCTCTTCCTATGCCTTATGTGCACAGTGGATGCCAGGTATGGAGGTCTTCGGGTTAGCCCAGTAGCTTGCAAGCTGTCCCATAGGGAGGTAGTCAACAGGGTATTGTTGCATCAAGCAGCTATCTGCATGGATTACACTGAAAACCTGGAAGGAGACAGAGGTTAAAAATTGTATAAGGTTACTAATGCCTGAGAGAGGCCAGTTTACATTTAAAATGGAAACTACAACATCATGCAATTATAACAAGAATCCACTACAATTCACCCACAGCATCACTTACAAATATAAGCCTACGAACTTACTTAGCCTTCTATTATTGCAACAAAGAAGTGAAATAATTAACTTAACAATGTCCATTTTGGCTCACTGTTTCAGAGGTTCAAACCCATGGCTTGTTGGTCCATGATTTGGGCGTGTGGTGAGGCAACAACATAGCATGGAGTGTTCAACTCAGAGCCAGAAGAGTAATAGGCACAATTTCCTTGTAAGCACATACTCCAAATGACTTAGAACCTCCTGACGGGTAGGCCTAAAAGTTCTTAATATAGAGAATGCCACCTCTCTATATAGCTGAAGAGGATCATGATCCTCATCTTCTTTATTCTTCCAAAGTGCTGAGAATACAGGTATGTGCCACTATGTCAAACTACTTCACAAATTCTTTACAATTGCCATTCCTAACCAAATTTAAAGTTTTTGTATGAAACAGATCCTGTAAATATTTTTTAGAAAGCACCAGGATGTTAATTTGGGGCAAAATAATGTTTAATTTTTTTTTTTTTTGGTTTTTCGAGACAGGGTTTCTCTGTGTAGCTTTGTGCCTTTCCTGGGACTCACTTGGTAGCCCAGGCTGGCCTCGAACTCATAGGGATCCGCCTGGCTCTGCCTCCCGAGTGCTGGGATTAAAGGCATGTGCCACCACCGCCTGGCAATAATGTTTAAATTTGAAGCCTCATTATTATAGTGAACTTTCAAACACTCTTATTTTTAACCCAATGAAACAAAATAACACAAAATTCAGCTTTAAATATTCAATCAATGAAAGATGATCTACTGAAGAAACACTAAGTAAATATTCTGTAACTTTCCGGATTCACCTGAACTTTTACATTTCAGAAGTGGTGTCATTACAAAGTATCAACTACCACTGATAACAGCTATGGTGTGTAAAAATGACAAAGATATATCTCTTATTTTAAGACATGTTAAAATGTGCTACTACACTGAAGGTCTATGGCTCAATCCATACACCCTATAGGAGACAGTCTCTTTACACAAAACGATTCATACCTTTTAGAACTGAATAGCATCTCTTCAGGAGGGTTGCTAGTTGTAAAAATGCTAAATTCAAAATATGACGAGAACATAAAAATGTAGCCAATAATTTTGGCCATGACAGCAAGTTTACTCTGCAATTTAAAAAGACTGGCTTTGAATATCCATGTCGAAAGCAAACTTCATTTTCCAAAAGGAAAACCACCTGATGCCATCCCACAGAGGAAAATTTCAACAACCAATCTGAATGAGAAGTTACTTAGCCTTCTAATATTGCAACAAACAAGTGAAATAATTAACTTAAGAACGTCCATTTTGGCTGTTTTAAAAGTTTAAACCCATGGCTGGTTTGACCCTGATTTGGGCCTGTGATGAGAGAAAAATGTAGCATGGATTGTTCAACTCACAGCCAGTTCAACAGTGGAGGAAACTATAAACAACTTTTCTTAAGGCCAGTTAGCAAAAAACAACTTTGAAGTATACCAAACCATAAAGAAGTTTAAAATTTGACATTCGATTTTTTTTTTCTCAAGCTGTGAGTGCTTTCTATGGTTTGTAGTGAAATGGATGCATTCCATTGTCCTAAGCTGTACCTATAAATGCTAGGATGCCTGGTGCAGGATACAGGTGTGTCAGAAACAGTACAAAGTCTAATGATTCCATGTTTTCTAGAACTCTTCAGTAAGATGCAGTTCTGCAGAGGCCTTCTTACTTTCTGTCCCTTCATACTACCCCTAGCAAGTCACATTCAGAGGGGAAAGCACAATACTGTAATAAAGCATTAGCAAATCACCCTGCATCCCAGCATCCCCTACTCTACACTGGACTTCTTGTAGAGTTTGATAGTCCTTCAGCAACTGACCACCGCATGTGATATCTACCCGATAAGCTTCAGCAAGGCCCATTTTTCTTTTGAGAAATTTTTCTCTAAGTCCAATGGTTGCGTTTCCTGAGACTCGCACAAACTTCATTTTCAGTGGTTTAAAATGCTCAGTGTCTGCATTAGTGCCCAGAGAACCCAGTACTAAAGCCGTATTAGTGTGAACTAAGGCACTAGTCCATAACTCCTTAGTTGTTTCTTTTGCTTGAAGGGCCTGGCTGTGGAACAGCATCAGGTTTTGGTGTTTCCGAATAATGTCCTTTATAGAATTCTTGCCTTTGCTTTTTTTCTTTTTCCTCTAGACCTGCCACTAATTTGTAGACTATGTTTTGTAATTGTGGATCCGACCTCAGGTGATTATGAGGTTTGGCCTCGTGTACTACAATGTTGCATTTTGGACATCTGTTGCTATGTTCAAAATGTTTTATGATGCAGCTTTTACAGAAGGCATGAAGACATTCTGTAATGGTTGTTGCATCTATTAAATAACCTTTGCAAACAGAACAGGAGATGTACGGCGTCAGCTCCGAGAGAGGAATGAGGTTCTCCTGGTCAGATTCCACCGCTGCCTTCTCCTTTCCACTCTTAGGAGGCTCGGATGCCAGGCATTTCTTAGTCCACACTTTCCCACTGGTGGAGTGGTCATCCTTGCCAGCTAGAGGTGTTGTGATTGCAGAGGGCAAGTTCTGGCGTGCAGGCCACAAGGCCTCCTCTGCTCCATCTGCTTTGTCAGCATCCAGACTGCCCTCTTGGACCTCTGGGCTGTTCTCCTCTGCTGGCCTGGCAGAGGACAAACTAGGCAAGGGCATGGTCAGATTTTGATGTAAGGCAGAGATGAGAAATAAGGCAGGGGCTACAAATAGGTCGAGATGTCAAGACAAAGAGATAGAGACCTTGGAGTGAGACCTGAAGAGATGGAAAGATTATCTTTTCTTCTAGGTGAGGCAAGGCGAGGCCATACCTTGAGTCAAGACCACCTGCGAAATCCTGGGTTGAGGCGAGGCAAGACGAGGAAATAAGGCAAAATCTGGAGATGAGGTGAGGCAAAGTCAGCATCCAAGATAAGACAGGCAAGGTGAGACACGGATTCAGGCCAGATGAGTCTCCAGTCAGGCCAGATGAGACCCCGGATTCAGGCGAGATGAGTCCCTGGAGTCAGGTGAGATGAGACCCCGGGAGTCAGGCCAGATGAGGAGTCAGGTGAGATGAGACCCCGGATTCAGGCCAGATGAGGAGTCAGGTGAGATGAGACCCCGGAGTCAGGCTAGATGAGACCCCGGATTCAGGCCAGATGAGTTCCCGGAGTCAGGCGAGATGAGACCCCGGATTCAGGCGAGATGAGACCCCGGATTCAGGCGAGATGAGACCCCGGATTCAGGCCAGATGAGACCCCGGATTCAGGCCAGATAAGTTCCTGGAGTCAGATGAGATGAGACCCCGGAGTCAGGTGAGATGAGTCCCCAGTGTCAGGTGAGATGAGACCCCGAATTCAGGCCAGATGAGTCCCCGGAGTCAGGCGAGATGAGACCCCGGATTCAGATCAGATGAGTCCCCGGAGTCAGGTGAGATGAGACCCCGGATTCAGGCGAGATGAGATCCCGGATTCAGACCAGATGAGTCCCCAGAGTCAGGTGAGATGAGACCCCAGTGTCAGGTGAGATGAGACCCCGGATTCAGGCGAGATGAGATCCCGGATTCAGGCGAGATGAGTTCCCGGAGTCAGGTGAGTTGAGACCCCGGATTCTGGCCAGATGAGACCCCGAATTCAGGCCAGATGAGTCCCCGGAGTCAGGCGAGATGAGACCCCGGATTCAGATCAGATGAGTCCCCGGAGTCAGGTGAGATGAGACCCCGGATTCAGGCGAGATGAGATCCCGGATTCAGGCCAGATGAGACCCCGGATTCAGACCGGATGAGTCCCCGGAGTTAGGTGAGATGAGTCCCCAGAGTCAGGCGAGATGAGACCTCGGATTCAGGAGAGATGAGATCCCGGAGTCAGGTGAGTTGAGACCCCGGATTCAGACCAGATGAGTCCCCGGAGTCAGGTGAGATGAGTCCCCGGATTCAGGAAGATGAGACCCCGGATTCAGGAAGATGAGACCCTGGATTCAGGGCAGATGAGTTCCAAGAGTCAGGCGAGATGAGACCCCGGAGTCAGGCGAGGTGAGTCCCCGGAGTCAGGCGAGGTGAGTCCCCGGAGTCAGGCCAGGTGAGACCCCGGAGTCAGGCCAGGTGAGACCCCGGAGTCTGGCCATATGAGACCCCGGAGTCTGTGAGGCGAGACTGGTTGTTGAGGCAGGGAAAATGGACCCTGAGATCAGGAAGTGAGGCGATCTCGTGAGGCAACGTGAGACTGGGAGGCGCTTAGAGGCTGGCTCGAGGTGGCACGAGGGGGCGAGACCAGGAAGTTATGCTTAGAGACTAGAATGTGAAACTGGATTCTGCGAAGAGACCTCCAGGGAAGCCAAGATCAGGAATCCTGGTACCACTGCAAGGTGAAGTCAGGGACATCAGTCAATGAGAAGAGACCTCCAGGGAAG